GTCTAGGAAGGGTTTTTTGTTAAAACGACACTTTTCAAAATGTTCAGGCATCAAATAAATTAGACTGCGGCTATTCGGACCCGGGTCCGAGAAGTGAGAGTTTGGGTTTATTAAAAGTATTTTAAAATTATTGTAAGGTTTGTAAGACAAAATTAGTTATCAAATGAAAGATAATTGAATGGACTATATTTTTGTGAACTTAATTGTTCAGTTTAACTAAAATAAACTACAACAAATGACATCCGAGTAGCATTTAGTCAAAATGGACCCGGACACGCAACGCCCCTATTCGGACCCAGGTCCCTTGAGACTTTAGATTTTTTTTTAAAGAAATTGTCACCCATCGTTAAATGCGTTACGTTGACCACTGCGCAAAATGCCTAATGTGTTATGTATAACATTTTACACGATTTCCCCGTGCTTGAATTTCGCTTGACCCAAATTAGATCCCAAGCAGACTTTAGCGTTTGTTGTGGGCGTGGCCTATTCGTTTGATGTATCTTGTTGACTACCGCATTTCCAATTGAAGCTTGTAAGACTGCCTCCTAGTATTTTGTAGAATGTTTGCGATTGTTCTAGAAATGTAAACAAATTCTGAGTAGCTTCTGGAAGCCAGGGCTTACGCGTCGGTGGACCCACCTAAATAAGGGATTGACAGATACAGAGATCCAGACGGAGATTCAGATAGGTTTTATTACCTTTACGAGACGTGGATTATTCTTTGCGTTCTTATATATGTGTTTATATCACATTTCATCATTATTAATTGGCACATTATTCTAACTGTGTTAACTGTGTACCGGTACAAGATCTACCATACTGTAAGTTGATGATTTTTAATGATATTTCTTTTCTTTTGTAATTACATTAATACTTATTAAATCTTATTAATTGTAACTAGAAACTGTTTTGGGTGTCGTATCTTTAATATTATTGACTCTATAGTATCGTCCTTTGTTAGGCACTGCTTACAACCAGCCAATTAAAATTAAAATAGGAGATTAATTTCTCATATTAAAAGCCAGTGCGTAACAAATGGAAAACATTTTAAACTATTCTGAGATCCGAAATATTTAATGTTTGGGAAGAGGGCGCCGAAATTCAGGCTTTGCCCCGGGGGAAGCTCTTGCTTATCACAACCCTGCTTATGAAATCTTATTCTTAGTTCTAATATTCTGGAGAGAAAAGAAAGTGATGGAGAACACATTCCGTTGAATTTAGTTTATATTAACTTAGAGAGAATCAGTGTTTATGTGGCAAAGCTTCTTAATTAAAAGTTTGTTTTAAAAGATAAACGAAGTGAATTGAGAATGAAGTAAATGAGAGGGTTACAGTTTTGTATTACTAATGAATGCAGTCAACCTGGGACTGCGACAGTCAAAAGCTGTGCAGTCCGAGCCAAAGATTGAATTTCAATGCCCCCCTTTCCAACAGGGATATATATATAATATATATATGTGTGTGTGTGAAAAATATGAAATTGGCGCCCTTTTGAAGAGGCGCCCAAAGAGGATGCCCCCTTTGATGCACCCCCCTCCCATTCTTTCGTTGTACCCTGAAAGCACAGTTTTACACACACAAATATTTTGTTACCATTGTTAGTGGGCGATTCTTTCTTTTTTTTCCCCCGTGTCAAAACCTAGTTACGCCTCAACTTGTAGGGTGTTGGCAGGCTGAATGAATGATATAGCCTACTTCGGCCCGATATAACTAAAGGTTTGCCGACCCCTGCCTTGGACCCTTTATAAGCGTAGGCAATGCAAGCCATTTCGGCCTCGGATATTTAAGACTCCCAACGTTGTGATATGAAGCTAAATGCTTTTTTTAAAAATATTTGCAAGGGGTTCTCCCAAAGGCACACGATGGCTCTGTATATATGTGATAACATAATATGCAATGTAAGCCTTCTGCTTTTAAACTTATATGACTAACAGTCTTAAAATCCACATTTCAGATTTTGTAACATTTATATCAAGTGAACATCAGACCAGAAAACAGACAAATCAATGGAGTGAGTTGTTGCTATCAAGTTTACACTAAGTGAACCGCGTCAGACCAGACAATCGAGGCCGACTGAATTTCGGTGTCGGTGCCGAAAATAGCCATTTGGTAAGTTGAAAAAGTTAACTTTCGGTTTCGGCCGAGGCTTTCGGCCGTCTCCCAGAAGTCACAATTTCACTCTGCCCGTCGGCCGGCAATACGATACTCATTATTGCTCGGCGTCTTGCTGTCATCGTGTAATAATATATAACAAATCCTGTACGAACACTGCTAACAGCTGCATGATGACCTACATGTCCAATATTTCCAAAAATAAAATTACAATAAGGCTAAAGGAAAGGTAAATAGTTTTGTGGGGGGGGGGGGGTGTATAAGGGAATGGTAAAAATTATATTATTACTTTTGTTTACAATTTAAAAAAAAACACTTAAATTCGGCATCCCTAGGTATATTGAATTCATTCCTTTGTGACACTCATCTTGATTTACCATTATCGATCCCATTAAAGTTGCCATAGGCAAAGGGGAATAATTTTTGTGAAAAAAATCGTAGGGAATGGTAACATTTCTATTATTATTTTTTCTTTCAATTTAATTTAAACAAAAATTCGGGAACCTTAGGCTTATTAAATTCATTCATTTATCGAGATTCACCATGCCATTATCATGGAGGTGAACGTTGTAATTGAACAAATAAGATGTGAAAATAGTGCACGAAATTAGTCACGTATAGGAACACAAATCTAAGGGAAGAGAAAAATAAAACCTTATTTTATTTATGCAGTAGGCCTACTGTGTGATCGTACTAAACCTAGCTCAATCAACGTGCTTGTTCTATCTGGGTCAAATCTATTATAAGCCAATAAATGATAATTGCGGATGAACGAAATATTTAAATGACCAATAAGAACGCATGTTTCCACGAAAATGTATGGATTAGCGGAACAAAAAGTTCGTTCAAGTTCAAGGCTTATGTCTGGACATAGTGGACCATACCATTAAACAGTGTATGGGTTAGCGGAACAAAGACTTCGTTCAAGGCTTATGTCTGGACATAGTGGACCATACCATTAAACAATGTATGGGTTAGCGGAACAAAGACTTCGTTCAAGGCTTATGTCTGGACATAGTGGACCATACCATTAAACAATGTATGGGTTAGCGGAACAAAGAGTTCGTTCAAGGCTTATGTCTGGACATAGTGGACCATACCATTAAACAATGTATGGGTTAGCGGAACAAAGACTTCGTTCAAGGCTTATGTCTGGACATAGTGGACCATACCATTAAACAATGTATGGGTTAGCGGAACAAAGAGTTCGTTCAAGGCTTATGTCTGGACATAGTGGACCATACCATTAAACAATGTATGGGTTAGCGGAACAAAGACTTCGTTCAAGGCTTATGTCTGGACATAGTGGACCATACCATTAAACAATGTATGGGTTAGCGGAACAAAGAGTTCGTTCAAGGCTTATGTCTGGACATAGTGGACCATACCATTAAACAATGTATGGGTTAGCGGAACAAAGACTTCGTTCAAGGCTTATGTCTGGACATAGTGGACCATACCATTAAACAATGTATGGGTTAGCGGAACAAAGACTTCGTTCAAGGCTTATGTCTGGACATAGTGGACCATACCATTAAACAATGTATGGGTTAGCGGAACAAAGAGTTCGTTCAAGGCTTATGTCTGGACATAGTGGACCATACCATTAAACAATGTATGGGTTAGCGGAACAAAGACTTCGTTCAAGGCTTATGTCTGGACATAGTGGACCATACCATTAAACAATGTATGGGTTAGCGGAACAAAGACTTCGTTCAAGGCTTATGTCTGGACATAGTGGACCATACCATTAAACAATGTATGGGTTAGCGGAACAAAGACTTCGTTCAAGGCTTATGTCTGGACATAGTGGACCACACCATTAAACAATGTATGGGTTAGCGGAACAAAGACTTCGTTCAAGGCTTATGTCTGGACATAGTGGACCACACCATTAAACAATGTATGGGTTAGCGGAACAAAGACTTCGTTCAAGGCTTATGTCTGGACATAGTGGACCATACCATTAAACAATGTATAGGTTAGCGGAACAAAGACTTCGTTCAAGGCTTATGTCTGGACATTTTAGTTGGCCATACCTATCAACAAAAAATCGACTAAGCTTTCCACAAATACCAAATATGGCTTTGTATAAAGTATAATATAAAGTAAAGGACGACCAATGGTCATTTACCCCCCACCACCCAAGTCAAAATTTTCCCTTACCGTGCTACTTTAAAATACATTTTTAACAACTTTAATTGCTTTTTACTTCAAATTTTAAAAGCCAAAGTATTTATTAGATGTTTACTTATTAAAATTCATTTTTTGGGATAAAAATTATATTATTATCAACACTTGCTGCCAGTGGTGTAGCTAGGGGAGGGGGAGGGTCCAAATTCGAAAGTCCCCCTGAGCCCCTACTTGAGGGGGGCCCCCAAAGGCATGTCTGAAATTTTTTTTAACATTAAATAATGTCGAATGTCAAAATGCAGGGGCCCCTAAAGAGGCCAAGCCCCCCGGGCCCCCAAATCCCTAGCTACGCCACTGCTTGCTGCCATCATTTTTCAAGTACCCGTTACGCAGAAAGTATGCGAGAGCAAGTTACAAAATATCTAAATCTTTTGATTTCGACCCGAAGTCTTGTTAAGCTTTTGGTTACTGCTCTGCCCAAAGTCATTTTTAACCTCGGTTTGATTTGGGTTTCGTCCGAAATCATAAAATTACATGCGGTCAGTCTCTACCAGACAACAAAGTCACATGACAAGAAGTTTTTGTAACATTTACATGTGAGCTGGTTCTGACCAGACAGCAAAGTCACTGACAAGAAGTTGTTATAACATTTACATGTGAATTTTTTTGACAAGAAGTTTAATAAAATTTGTATGAGAACCCGGTCAGACCAAACAACAATTTCATCTGATAGAACAACAAAGTCAAACTATTTACGTCATTTACATTTATTGATTTAAAAATGATATTCGTTTACAAATGAATTAAGAGTTTTCATGGACAAGAACAAGACATTGTTAGACTTTGCCATCTGTATAAAATGAGATGAAATTGGTTACATGATGCACAAGGTAATTATGGGGAGGCTTAAAAAAACATGACTAGTTATTAAATGTACAAGTGGATCACAGGACAACAATGTTAGGGGAAACATCAGGTTCAAATAGAGCATCCTGCTGTTCACAGCTCTAGCATTTTAAATCAATTATGTCTGGAAGAAATTAGAGGAATTTATAGACTGGCATGTTTTTAGACATTAGAGGGATTTATAGATGGGCAAAAAGGGTATTTAAAAATTAGAGGGATACATAGACTGACATGTTTTTAGACATTAAAGGAGAGATATAGACAGGGAAAATTTCTTTTTTAAATTAGAGGGATTTATAGATGAGACAAGTATTTAGAAATGAGAGGGATATACAGACGGGCTAGTTTTTAGATATTAGAGGAATATATTGATGAAACAAGTATTTAGAAATTAATAGGGATATACAGATGGGACAAGTATTTAAAAAATCAGAGGGTTATATATATATATATATATATATAGAGAGAGACAGGACAATTTTTAGATATTTCTGTCTTTCGGTTTACAAAGATAATTCAATTCTAAATCGAGGTCATTAAAGTAAAGTTAAGTACCGATGCTGTAGATCCATGCATGTCTTATTAGAGAAGCTTTAATAACTTTGTAGCAAATATCACCTACATAAATAATTACAAAATATGTAGAGTATTGGCCTGAACCATATATGGCTTGTACCAATCCTGTTGTACATTTATTTATTATCTACTAAAGTGAAGTATTTAGATCAGGGATTAAAATGCTCCATAAAAACAAAACATGCTAGTTACGGCTTTAAAATGTAGCAATTGGTGAGACGCTGCTAAAATAATAGTCAGAAATTATTATACCACTCTTTGTGGATACACACACACATATAAATATATATTATAGATAATGACTCCATGGGATGTGTTTCATAACTTTAAAAATTGGGAGACAATTTCAATAATTTGACATGTTATCTACCATACAAGTTGTTGAACATTACGAAGGAAGCTTTATAAAAAAAAATATATATATATATATATATAAATACACATACAAATATTCAGTTCACACACACAAGTAGTCAGTTAACCATATTTAGCTCAGGTGGATTTTGGACATTTCATTTACTTGCACATGAAATAAGTCCACTATATTTTCCCCCTTCTTTGCCATTTTTAAATGCAATTATTGCTGAAGTGAAAATTAGTCTGAAGTCATGACCCTTGTGTTTACAGTCTTCATTCAGACTATGTGTGAAATAAATAAATCAATCTTAAAACCCTTGGCATTGCATACACAATTTTTCAGACATATCATTATTATACTCTATTTTGTAGACAAAATATAAAAATTGTGTTCTCAATCTTCAATTAAGACAATCAATAATTAATAAAAATACCCCCCAAACAAATTACTTCATAGCTGACAATCAGTCATGTTGTTGTACAAACAGTTTTACAGAAGATGCTTATGTTCCTCAATATAAATAGATTAATTTAGAACTGGTTTTGAGAATCTTGATCAAAGGGAGAGCAATACTACCAACAAGAATGAAATAAAACTTAACCTCAGTATAAGACAGGGATGAAAGTAGAAAACATTTCTGGCCAGAAAACAATTATTACTTCATAAAAAGAACCATAAATTGAACGCAAATAATGGTCAGTTATTTTCTCTGTTTGTTAGCATTGACATTTTAAACTGGAAAGGGATTCTGTATCTTATTCTTGGTAAGTGGTAGAATAATGTTTCTCCCAAATGTTTAAAAAAAAAATGAGATTGATTTGAGTTAGTTACTCCCAAAACAAATATATCACCATATTATCATGATAAACACATGAGATTTGTACGTAAAAAAGAACCAACGCCAAACCAGTAGATCTAGGAAATTTAAGTAAATAAACTTAAGGTTACAACGTTCAATTTTCATAAATGTGGCATTATTAAGCATTAATATTTTTAAGTAAATGATTTTTAATTAAATCTCAATAAGTAATTCGACATTTTTTTTTTAATAAGTAAGTTTGGCATTTATTGTATGGACAACTGCATTTAATATAAAAACTAAGATGACAGGAACTGTTAAGATTTTTAAAAGTTAATTAATTGAATAGAATATTTATTTAGCATTACGAGAATACAAGAAAATTTCTCCTATCAGAAGAATCAAAATGTTCAAAAAAAGCAAATTTAATTCTCAAGGGTTGCACTGAAAAATTATGCGTTGACAAGTTTAAAACAAAACACACACAACTTCTCAAAGGGCAAATTGAATGCTGTTGATACTCTTTCTAAAGCTGACTTTTTGGGGGAAATTATCTCAGAGGAATAAGAGTAGTGGTTGGCTTATTAGCACGTCTTAGGAGGTATTGTATTGCTTACGCTTGCATCATATTTTATGGGGTAGGCTTTTCTTCTTCTTCTATATTTTGAGGGGGCCGCGATCAATATTGATCATTCTGGCTCCTATACTTAAAAGCAGATTATACACTTTTAAGGCTTTTCCCATCCTAGCAAGGGGGAGTCAGCTTATTAACCAACAGACTTTAGAACTATTCTCTATGGTAGCTAATTGTGTGAATAGCAATGGTTTGGTTATATACAGAGGATTACAGGATCAAGAGAAGAGAAGAGATTTGGTTTCACCCCATATCAATGGCAAGATAATACCACATGCACTGAAGAGAATCATTGCTGAGCGGTATAGGACCCGGTGCAGTGCCCACAAGGGCTCAGATTGGAACACAAAGTACACAGCATACATGGCCACAGCAAAGAAATGTCCAATCAAGAGGTAGGGTTTAGGATTGAGCCTGCAAAAGAATGAGATTTAATTTAACAAAATACTTTAGTCAACACTTCTCACCAAAAGAATATTTTGAAAGTGTGCTTGTCTTTAACTACGCTGGGGATTCATAAAATATCATTAATTACATTAGATGAAATTATTTTTGTACAAATGATGTAAATATAAGTATAAAAATGTCATATGTTTGAGTGCTGTGTTTGAAATTGAAAATAGAAATATGTTTTTATTGCAATAATTTTCTTTGATATTTTCACTATCACATTTTATATTCACACCACATCAATTGGTGTCTGTATATCATAGCAACAAGAAATATACAGGGTTACTCCCCCCTTAGCTGCACACCTTTTAAATGCAAATAGCTTGTTTAAGGACCAATACTCATCAAATTTTGAGTTTTTTTCACGATGAAAAGCCCTTTTGTTAAACATGAACTCAGATGATGAATTTGATACCAATTTAGATGTGATTCTGATGATTCATTGTTTAATTATGCTAACTGTAGTAACACAGATTCCTTCATTTATATTAACAAAGTAAAATAAACATTTCCGACTTGACAAAGTTATTGAGTTTACTGTCTTATACTGCCTTGACATTTCACTGTACTGGAAGAAAGACCTAATGTGGATAGAAGGGGCTTTTTACTTTATATTTGCAATATGGATTTTAATTGGATAAGTCTTAAAAAATAGTAAGTAACACACACAACAAAAAGAGAAACACAGAGAGAACAGCCAAACAAATAAAGACAACATAGATTCCCATTGTCATTTGGTGAATGTTGACACAACAACTGCCAGAGAACACATGATCCACCCGCACAACCCTTAAAACACTAACACTCCCCTGTGTTGATTTCAGACAGCATGACATACAATATGTATTGCTACCATTAAACACTTACACTGAAAGTAGGCTGACAGGTCCATTGACACATTCCCCTCCAAGTCTGAAGTATTCAAAACAAGCTTTCTTCATACTAACAAGATGAGCTGGAAAATGAAAGTTATTAAAATTATTAAAATGTAAAAAACGTTTAGAGAGAGGTCTAAACTATCTAAAGGGCCCAATGAGGATGATCATATAATCAATAAACTACACATGTCATTAAGCAAACATCTTCTAAAATACAAAAAAATATCCAATATACATGACTTTAGTGATTAAAAGTGTATTGCATTTTAACTGTAGGCTTTTATGAAATTAAAATATAAAAAAATAAGTACTGTATAAGAAATGAAAATTATCATTTTAGTGCATTTACTGTCACCCCATTGCTAATGTTTGGTCTCACAGCAATATTTGTTATATCTGGAATAGTAACTAATCAACTGAAGGGCTCAAAGGTCCATTCTGTTTAAAATCAGCATGTCTCTGAGGCTTCACTAGTTCCATGAGCATGTCCTCTGTCATTTTTTCATAGCTAAATGTTACCTATACAAGGTGGAACTGAGGCTCAAAATCTTGTTAAAAATGTTTATGGCAGAATTGAGTTACACTTTTGCCCTGAATTCAATGTTGAGATATAGGTCAAATCTTTACAGGAAGCTGTGATACACATAGTTAGCCAATTGGTGTTACTTAATGCATTTTACCCTTGATTTGACAGTTGAGTTATTAGTATTTTAAATGTGATAAACTAGGTTTATTGAGATAGGAAGTTGGAACATCTTTGTTTTTGATGGCATTTATAACTTTTAGGAGTAGAAACTAAGTGTTATAGAGAGCTTGTTTACATAATATTTCTTGTGCGTGCCCTCTGATTGACCCCGCATGAGACGCTGTGTTCACAAAGGGGTGTGGCTTAGGCCTTTGATGTATTCTTGTTTACGCCACCAACTACTAAAAATAATTAATCTGTTCCAAGTAGTGTTTTGTAGAATGAATCTGATGGTTCTAGAAATGCCATGTAGCTTGTCGAAGGCAGGGCTTAGGCGTCGGTAGACCCACCTATATAAGGGATTGACAGGCTCGGACAGAGGGAGATTTCAGATAGATTTTCTTAACATTACGAGGCGTGTTTTATTCTTTGTGTATTTGTGTGCTCATATGTGTTTATTTCGCATTATTTATTGGCACATTATTCTAACTGTGTTAACTGTGTACCGGTACAAGATCTACCATACTGTAAGTTGAAGATTGTAATTATATTTTCTTTTCTTTTGTAATTATCTTAAGACATAATGAATCTTAATTAATTGTAACTAGAAACTGTTTTGGGTCGTATCTTTAATATTGTTGATTCTATGGTACAGTCCTTTGTTAGGCACTGCTTACAACGAGCCAATTAAAATTAAAATAAGAGATTAATTTCTCCCAATACAAGTCAGTGCGTAACACTAAGCATCTTAATGCAGTAACCAAATTTCAGTGTGATAAACAAGTTCCCCATATTTACTCTTAAAACATCTGTGATTTAATCCTTTTGAAAGAATGAAACTGACAGTTATAATAGAATTATCCATAAATTTTTTCATATGTTTAGGTATATGCTATTGTTATGGTTTTTAATGTCCTCTCATTATACCTTGTTTCTAAGAAAAAAAATTACCATCTGTTGAGCTCTCTAGTTTTTTTGTAAAGCATGGTAATACAGACCTGTTTACTCTTACGATTTTGGCGTACAATGCACAATTTTGAGGTGTATACATTATATATACTGTATGTTTATTTTTTTTACTATTAAGATAATGTATAGAATGATTTTGTGATGATATTATATGATTTTAAGAGTTTGAGGGTAAATAGGTGTGGTAATACAGTAATAAAATAAGTGGAACTAGAATTAATGTCTCATACCTGGCCTTTATTAAAAAAAAAAATTTTTTAAAAAATAGGAAAGCACCTTAAAGCATTATTAAGACTCTTAGTGTTAATCAGTGTAAAAAAAAAAAAAAATGTTTTTTTTCCAAATGTTAACTTACTATTTTCAGCAGCAAACAACTCATACAAGGCTTGAGCAAGAACATTCACCACAAATGAATGATTATTCTTTCTTCTCAGGTGGAACACTCTTAAAGCTTTGATGATAGACTCATAATCTGAGAGATCAGGAATTCCCTTGAGTAGCTCCCGCCAGATGACTGCATCATTTAAGCACACACTCATCCCTCCTCCTGTCAGGGGATGTCTCATGTTGTAGGCGTCTCCAAGAACTAGAGCCCCAGGACGCTCTAATGGACTTGGAGGGAGAAAGCTGTTGGGCATGCTTCTAACTCTGCCATTGATAACTCCATCTCTGAATGATTCTTGAATGTGTTCTATAAAATTAAATTCAAAACCTCTATTGCTATGCTACTTTTTAAAATCAAGAAATTCAATTTAAATATTAAAACCATGAATTAAATATATTATGAAAAAAACAACTGAAAATGTATCACATGGAACGACATTAGTGACCGGAGCTGGAGCTCTTATGGACCCCCCTGTAACTCCATCTCACAGGACCTTTTTCAGAGAGGGAGGTGCCGGGAGGCAGCTCTACCGGGATGTTTTGCCCTAGTGGTGAACTATCTGGCTACCCCAGGAACGCCAAAGTGGTAGCTCCCATAAATTTGCCATTTAAAACGTAAGGAGTGGATTTCCTACTGCGTATCACTATGATCTCCCCCGCCACACTTGGGGCAAAACATGGTCCTATCTTTTTGGCAACTAAATGACTCCATTTTAAGCAGTCACTTAGTTCCTGGCAACACTATTGTGTAATACTCTCCCACTTTATTTTTTTTTATTTCAAGAATGATTTCCTTAAAAAGAGAAACAAACCTGGCAGTTGGTGACAAACTGAATCCAATAGATACTCTTTAATATTCTTAGGCATTAGACCTCGGACATCTACCAGGACACGTGTGCAATCAGAAGAAATCTGGTAGATCAGAACTGGGCTGGGGTTAGCAAGGACAAGTTCTGCATGATTGTTGATTTTCTGTGGGCAGTGATGCATGAGCAGCCCAACAAAATGAGATGTTACTTTAACTTCCTCCTTGACCAGTTCTTTACGGAATTTGGAGAAACAGCCATCCACTACAAAGGTTAAGGGGGCAAATATCTCCTGAAGATATTGTATAAAAAAGGGACCATTTAAAAAAATATTACACTTCTTTTTTCACTAAAATAATGTTAGAGCAGTGTTCCCCAAATGGTGATCCTCAATGGCACCGGTCCGCAAGCATTTCATTGCCGGTCCTCAAAACATTAATTTAGGAGTCAAATAAAAAGAAAATGTAAAATATAATCGGTGCCTGGTGCTATTTCAAAACGTGTCCAACAAAATTAAAAGTTTTGGAAACGCTGTGTTATAGCATAATGAAAGCAGGTGTGTTTGCACAACACCATTTGAATGATTGGAAAAACTTTCCCTAACAATTGATGACTTATAAAGTTTAACATTTTAATTTAATTTTGAAACATCAAACCAAAATTTTCAGCATAGCTAGCAGTGGAATATAATTAATAAGGGGGAAACATTTAAATTATGTTGTAGTACCGGTACTTAAATTTCAAAAGCATTACACACTTTTGGATCTTCTTCATCCTTGGGTTTATACCTAACGCCTATCACAACTCCATTTTCTTCTAGAAGTTTACTGGCAGTTCCTTCAATGTATGTCACACTGAAATAATTTAGGAACAATAGGTGCCATTAAGTAATTTTAAAAAATGCAATAAAATATTTTATACAAATTTATCATCAAAAACAACAAACTGATAATGTGCAAAATTAAATTATGTTTTGATGCCTTACCTTGTGATTAGGAAAAAATGTGTAACCATTCACAAAGTAATCAAAACAAATATGAAAATAAAACTATTTCCGCCAATTTATAATAGGTTATAATTAGATTGCTAAATTCTGAAAACTTAAATTATTAATCAAATAAAGACACTTTAATTTACTCACTTAGGTTCTTTTTTGGCTTCTTCTCTAAGTGCCATAATAAATCTTCCATGATGAAATGCAGTACCATCAGAATTAAGCTTGGCTGTTCCACTTTCTGCAAAATTTTCTGGGTAGGGCACGACAACCTCTGTTTTGGCCTCTAAATTGTGTATGACATATCCCTTGATTTTATGAGCATCTAAGCCTTTAATGCAATCTGAAATATATTATTTTTAAAATGATAGTGATAGGCTCCTTAGCTTTTTAAAAAATGAATACCAAACATTGAAACATAAATTGGTTTAATTTTTTTTTAAACTAAAAAGATAATTGAATTTTAGAAAAAGAAGAAATGTCAACATTAAAATTTTTTATCACTTAACTTGCCTGCTAATCCTAATTTTGTAAGGGCATTGACTCCCCCAGGTTGAAGCAATTCTCCAACAATACGGTCAGGTTCCTTGAGATCCCGTTCTATTACAGTAACCTTTCTTCCATCCCTTGCAAGCACTGTGGCCATTGCTGAGCCAGCAACCCCCGATCCAATGATAATAACTTCAGGGCCATTTTTTGAAAACTTTTGGCTGGGCTTTGTCACTCTAATGGGCTGTAAATTGCATATGAAATAACCATAAATAATAAAAAATAAGTTATAATAATATACCACATATAATTCAATATCAAAACAAATCATTTACACAAATAGTATATCACATACATGTTGCGCCCTAGGCCCTCTATTTTATTCATTGGGCAAAATGGCTGACTACATAGATAAGAATGTGTGTCGTATCTGCATCCGGCCTGTATGTTGCTAACCCCAGTTCTAGATATTAAAAGTCAAGTAGATCTCAAAACACTAGATTAGATATGATTAATGAATCCAAGGGAGGGTTGCTGATTAAGGACCATAAGACTTTTTCTATTTATTAAAATGTTGGAATATTTGGTAAATTAAATAAAATAAATTTTATTAATACTTAAGTGACCTGCATTTTTTCATTTGGACAATTAAAATATGACTGAATGAGAATGGTTTAGCATTAGCCAGATTCAGAATAATGAGAATTGCTTCTTTATTATTTATTTTTCACCAAGAAAAATGTTAGTAAAATAGATTTAGTTCAAATTTTCTGGGTTATGCCAGTTATGCATTTCTCCCATTTTAAAATTATCTAATCAGGCTTATACTTATTGCTTATGAAGTTGTTTATTTCTTTTAGATTTAAGTTTAGGTCTAATAATAATATAAACTGCCTGCCGAAGTAAAGCCTGGCTTGGTATATCAATTTCTGTAGGCTTGCTTAAACTTGAGACTTGAAAAGGCCATTGTTGAATCATTCTAGCAGTATAAGTTTTACTCATACTAATAGTCTTGAGTCTAACTCATCCCAAACCAAAGATGAAAGTCTTTGGCTTTGGCCCCAAGTCCAAGTCTTTGGCTGCTTCTTTCACTTTCAGCTTTAAGATTTCATTTATTATTTTTTATAACCACATTTTTTAGTAATAATCTTATATTTATTCTTAAACTAAAGTCTAAATCTAAAGGTGAACTTTTAAAAATTAATAATCCCTAGCCTGTCCTAGTGAGGGTGTGGAGAATAATGTGCATCCATAGAATTCAAATTACGTAAATTCCGTAAATGTAAATAATAGGCCCAGGTTATTTCCCATTTTGATAAATAATATTAAAATGATTCATTCGGCCTATGCCTATACTGCTATACTACAACTACAATACTATGCTTACAATTTACACATTTTAATTTTGTTTTCAATAGGGTAGTCCTATAACTACAATAATGTTCTGAGCCTAAATTATAATTATAGTTAGCACTATTACTATTATTACTGATTGTATATTTAATTTCTTTTCTTTACAAAAAAAAGTTTTAAGCATTACCTTTTTATGTCGGTGGACCAAAAATAATATAGTTGAAATTAAAACAATTCCGAATCCCAAAAAGACACTTGAAAAATTCAAATGAGGGTAACCCCACTCTCTCATAATTTCAATAATCATATCAACGGCAGGTATACAAACTGGTGGCTAGAAATTTCAGTTTTAACTTATTATATAACTTTTAGCTGACAATAACAAAGCCGTGTTCTCAGTGGCAGAAGAGCGAATGTGCGCTCGCTGTCACATCTTATTCATTTACAGGACTTTACTGGAGTCATTAGAGACCGAAAGTTGTCTGCTGATTTCTATGGACCAATCAAAACGAAGTAAAATATTTTCCTCGTAGCAGCCATTTTAGAAAAGAATAATAATTATTCTTTATATTTTGTTGAGGATTGAAAAAAAAAAAAAAAAAAAAAAAAATAAAGGGAAACTGCACCTCAATGGGCGAACAAATTAAATTACATTATTGTAAAAATGGGATACATTTATATAAAAATTCTAATGTTTTGTTTGTTGCAGAGAGGGATAATCAAAATTTGTGGCATGATTTGGTTATAAATAGCCATGAAGGGTAACTTAATATCAATTCAGTAACTTCTGAATCATTCTACTCCCTTTTATATCAGATGAAGATGTTAAGATATTGCCACTAATGAGCCATCNCAAAAAAAAAAATAAATAAAAACAATAAATAAAAAACAAATAATGATATAAAAAATCGTCACAATTTTATTAACATAACACAAATTAAACACCTTCATCATTTCATACGGATAAAAATATACCGTTACAACTTCGTGTCCACACCCCCCCCCCCGGCTACACACGTGACATCGTACGTGGATGGCCCATTAAACTGTAAAATCAGGGAGCCCTCTTGAATGTCTTAATTAATGCCATTCTATTACACTTATTTTGTAATCTTCTATTTAACGTGACTTTGTTTATTTTGATTAAGGGCAAGCTCCTAGGCAACCTCTTCTTCTCTTCCAGCTGCGGTGTGAGTTAGACATGTCCTCCTTTTGCTGGACACCTGGCAACCCTATGTAAGCTGAATGAAGGAAGGCCATATTCCAAATGATCTGCTGTATGGAGAGTTGGCAGAAGGGACAAGACTTATTGGACAGCTGAGGCTGCGATTTAAGGACCTTTGCGAAAGGAGCACGAGGGAAGCCAACATAGAAATCAACGAATGGAAGATCATCGCTGAGCAACGTTCCAGCTAGCGAACAGTAGTGTATGAAGGAGTCAAAAAGGCAGAAGATGCGCGAAATGAAGCCCTTGCAACAAAAAGAGCATAACAGAAGGCCAAATCTAACCAGGAGTTAAGGTTGTCCAGCGAGAAATGCAGCCGAGACTTTCCTTCCAAGATACCTAGTAAGCCATTTGATGAAGTGTACAAATGACAAAGCTACTCCATCGTCTCGCAAACACGGAAGGATGCCGAATATATAGAAGAGTCAGAAAAGTCACTTTGATTTTGAATTAAGCTTTGGTTAAACGTGATGACGGACAAAACAAAAAGCATTTTTGCTAAACATTTTCGTAAATTTATTCACTGAACCTCATGGGTGTACTGTAGATAGGAAAAGTTAATTTACCCAACACAACTTTATTCATTTGCAATTTATAAGGGTTGTCTAAACAGTTCAACTAATTCAATTTCACCACTTCTGCGTCGAATTTGTATCCATTATAATACAAATATTAAATGCTACACGATATTATTAAAGGGACACAATGACATCAAATCTACTTTTATATTTTTAAAAAAATTAAGTTTATTTTCTGAAATTTAATTTATACATATATGAATATTTTTTGTTGTTCTCGGATGAAGGCATTTTCCGAAACGTTTGAATTTGTATTTTCTGTAATCAAATGACAGAGGAACGAAACGAGTGCATCACCAATACCTCAGATGAAAAAGGCTCAAAGGCAGACATAGGCTTAGATGGATGGAAGATGTGGAAAAATATCTACAACAACTGAAAGTCCAAGCATGGAAAAGAACGGCATTAGTTAGGTCTGAGTGGAAGGAAGTGGTGAGGCAGACCAAAGCCCTGCATTGGCTGTAGCGCCACAGGGATGAATGGATGGTAATCATAATTAAAGCATAACCTATATTGTTTTATGTACACAGATTTTGTGTGTCTCATTAATGATATTATCTGAAGGCAAATGCAAATTTTGTTCATTTAAAAAAAAACTCCATTGCAATCCCAGTTAGACGAAGCCAAATGATCAAAAACATGCTCCGTCCGTGGTGGTGTCGGATTAAGACTTATGGGGGGACATAATAGTGGTCGGGATTGTGTCTTCTCTCTGGCTTACCTATAGGAGGTGTGAACGATGGGGGTGACTGCCCTGGGGGGCACTTTAGGGTTACACGGGGTAACATCCTAATTCAAATTTTTTTAAGGGACCTGAGATTTTTTTCTCTTTAAGGCCCCGGCTGATACATTGGTAACCAGTTCCGCCTGCCTGGCTGTGCCATACGACCTTTTATTATTGACATGTGAACAGGGTTTCTTTCAGAAATTTTCCCCCGGGGGGGGGGCACTTCAGACCGCCTGCCTGGCTGTGCCATACGACCTTTTATTATTGACATGTGAACAGTGTTTCTTTCAGAAATTTTCCCCCGGGGGGGGGGCACTTCAGAGTTTTCGGGGGGGGGTGGGGGGTGGGGGGCAGTGCCAGCAGTTTCAGCTGATTTATTGTTGGACATATTTTTGCTCCGGGGGGTGGTCACTTGGCTTTCCTGGGAGGGGGGCACTGCCCCCCGGAGATATAGCTGAAAGAAACCCTGCATGTGAATGACTCGCCCGCCATCTTGGTCTCCTCAAGCACGAGCCATGGGCACGAAGTTTACACGTGTACAACAATTTCTGCGACCAGTGTGCAGCTTCTTGCTGTTCTGGTCTCTGTTGTTTTCCAGCGGCCTAGCCAGTTAAAGTAAGAATTAGTTGGGAAGTGTTCCGTCCACATCTGAATTACCGAGCTTTGATGCTGGCGTGTTAGCCTCCACTATGGATTGGAGTTGCTGGGGCGGGGCATGTTAGCATGTACACATCTGGCATTCGTTCTGTCTGAGCCGATTTCCCGTACCACAGGGGCGTGGGAGGGGGTGGGGAGGGGGCGTTGCGATTCGGGTGGCATTATTTTTTTAAATTTTTTTTATTGATTTTATATGGAGTGGGAATTTTCGATCTACTGTGCATTTTTTTTTCGTGGAAAAAAAGGGGGGGGGGGGGCAAAAATTATCGGCCCATCCTTGGGCGGCGCAAACCCTAGGTACGCCACTGGTACCATTTTGTCCAAAAGTGGCCCCCCAAGCAATTTTTGAGTCAGGTGATTGGTTTTGTTGGTTGGGGCTGTACAGCCCCGGTTTTCGCCGGTATGTCTTCTTTTACGTTGCCCCTTACGTTCACGGGACTTCGGACCATTTGGAACGTAACTTTGACTATATTCGTTTCAAAGTTTCCCACATCATATGTTATGGCCTCAAGTAAGTGAGTGCACTCTTTTCACGATCTCTAAGCCCATCATTATATAAATCGACGTGCTCTACATGGTCTGTGTGATGGTGGCACACTTTTGGATTTGGCCCCCGGGCAGCTCTTAATCTTCTGCAGAAGAATGAATTTTTTTTTTCCAATTGAAGAAATAGAAGTAAAATGGCTTCGTCAGCCCTCAGGTCTATAAGGGCAAACGTGAGATGCGTTTGCAGTTAATTCAAGACAATAATCAATTTTACTCATTTTCATGTAAATTTGTTCACAATAAGAAAAGGTAAGGAAACCACGGGTGGCTGCCACGCCCCATTAGAAAAAAAAAAAAGGCTGAAAACTGTTCTAAATTGTAATTAATGAAAAATATTGGCATTATATCAGTTGATTCTAATCCTGCATGAATCCCGAAAACAACTTTTTTGTTCCTTTTATAAGCCCCCCCCCCCACTCCCCTCGCTAAATCCATACGATCTCACTCGACTACTTCTTCATCTCCAACTCTCCTCCGAACACCTACGCTTTTTCCCTAGACACCCTCCTACCCATGTGCCGCCTTTTAAGTGAAAACAAGATTTGATGTCTCTGGTACCAATATATTCATCAAATTAGTCATTTACGTTCAGTCAGCGATGCAATTGTAATTTTTATGTGTAGGCTACAGCTGCAGTCTTTTCTAAATAATAAATTTGGTAGCCCACTAACCTGCATTAGCTTTGGCTTAATTTTAAGCAATTAAGTATTAAGCCCCCTGAGTGCATTTTATGATTATTTTTTGGTTGGTTTTGCCGGCGTGCTTGTTGGTGGTCCATGGCTAAACTAAGTACTAAGGTGCTAAGAAATATTTGCATTTATAATTTTACAAAACCCATATAACTTTGCATAGGCGTAGCGAGAGTGTTTGGCGCCTGGGGGACAAGATTCGCGCCCAGGGACAAGATTCATTTTAAAGCGCCCCCTTTTCTTTTTTCAACCCTCAAACCCATTGTTTTCACCAATAAAATAATATAAATAATATAAAAGCACATTTTGGCGCCCCTAACTAGCTGGCACCAGGGGACATCTGCCCCACTTCGCTACACCCTTGTAACTTTGGCTAGTCTTAGCTTAGGCTATTTTTGTTTGTTTGTTATGGCTTTATTTTATGTACTACTTGGTTGTTCTTTACAGTTAATTGCATACAAAAATGAATTGTAGCAGGACAGTAGCATGTTAATGGGCATGGGACATGACGATATTGAATGATACATCTTTCAACGAGCTGCCATAATAATTAGTAGGTTCATAAATCTTATAATCTCCAAATTATTTAATTTCTTAGTTGATTTTTCTAACAAGGGCTTTAAAAATGGTAAGGGTATAGTATAAACATAAATAAAATATGTGGGAGTTTTTAGTTAAGCATACTTCTGGTGTTGTATAGTCTTACCATATTAACTCAGTCCAGTTTAGCAAAAATATATGGTAAGCTACTCTACCGCGGTCCGTTTATAAAACACTGATTACTGTCAACGATTTGTACGTCAAACTAATATAAGATTTGATAACGTGATAGCTAGGTTCAGTTTTAACGAAAAAATATTTTTTTAATATATGAAAAGAATTATATATATATGTTGACTCTTATTTTAAATAGCCTTAACTCTAATGCCACTCTCGGGCATTTAGTCATATTCAACGAAAGTAGTATTTTATCGTTAGAATAGACAAAGCATGGCTTTCATCTGTGAGTGTTGTGATTAGTTGTGAATCGCAACATAATTTGATGTTCATTGAATAATAATCTTGGAATTAAATCAAAACTTGTAATAGCAAGTATGTTATAACAATTTTTAGGAGAAGTTAAACCCCGTCTTTATCCCACCCCCATAAAAAAAAGAATTAATAAATTATTACTAAAGAAAATAAACTTAGTACTTAGGTAAGAATCTGTTACTGTTTTAGTAGTCTAGTAGTGTTTTAGTTTTAGGTTAGCTTTTTCCCCTTACTAGTCTTTCTTCTGTTACTCGCACACCTAACCAAATCCATCCACGATAACATGTAGACAAGCATACTATATGGTTACAGTTACAGACTGAGTTTGAGCTAACTATGTAACAATCTATGTAATAAGACTAAGTAAGTAGCCTACATTTAAATGAAATACTAAGTGATACTAATAGTAATAGTCATAGCCTATAGACTATAGACAGTCAAATAAATTTGCATAATCTTATTTGTCGTTTGACAGGGATCATCCCAATATATGGAAACTATTTTTGTCTGATCTGATCAAATTTGTTCCCCGTTTCAATCTAATCTCATCATTTGGTAGATTTTCATTTATTTTATTTTTATTTTAAGCTACATATTTTGGTCTCGTACACATCATAGTATAAGTATCAGAACTTGGTGTTAGTATCTAATTCCAGATTTACTTTTAAACTAAGCTATCATCTCAGATTATGATTAGAGATGGAAAATATGTGATTTTCTGATTTGAAGTGTCTACATGTCCTAGTGCGCAAGATATACGTCCGGCGGCATGTCACGTGACCGCCGGACGGCTAGTAGTTTTTATAATTTCGAACGAAATGCAATGTAGTAGATCTTGTGTGGTCTACTGGTAGAGTGGTCGCTTGACGATATTATGATTATTATCAATACCGGGGATAGGATCGTTTTTTTTCTTCCTGTTTTAATTAAAATATTTTATCCTATATTTAAATTATCATGTTCATCAGCAACAGTAGTTTCATGAGAAGTTTTTAAATATTTTGTAGCAATTTAAACAATTTAAAATGAAATCTTTGACTTTTATTGGTTGCCCACTACATACTGGCCCCTAATTTATTTTATGGATTACTGGTACACAAACTCAAATAGCAAACTAAACAAAAATGTTTACAAGCCACTTTCACTTAAGTTTTTTTCTATTATTTGCATGCAAGATGTACATTACTTGGTAGAGAAATAGATTTTAAAATTAACAATAGTTTTGAATCATTCGCGGTCACGTGATAAGGCTGATGGACAAAATATCTCTCGGCACTTTGTTACGGCGGTCATGTGACCTGGTCGCCGGACGAATATCTCGATAAAGTATTCTTCCGGCGGTCATGTGACTTGGTCGTCGGACAAATAGTGCGGGAGATATACGTCCGGCGCGCCTTTCTGATTTTGACAGAAACCAGACCGAAAGTTAAAAATGACTTTCGGCGGAAACCATAGCCATAAGCTTAACAAGACTTTAAATTGAAAGATTTAAATATTTCAAAACTCGTTTGCACGTTTTGCGTTCTTTAGAAAAAATTATGGGTGGAATATCAATATGTACATTCTTTTTATCAATTTTAATAGATAAAAATCTAATGGATGCTTTGTCTTTTACCATACGACGTTTAGTATACTAACATAGTAGGCCTACTATATAATAATATTATAATAATAATAATTATATAGTATATAATTATTGTACGAAATAGTGATACATGCACAGGTGAGTGTAGGCTTATGATTTAAATTAAAGGCTATTTTATGCCTAATCACAGACTGTTTACTTATATGATTTTGGCATACAATGTACGATTTTGGGATGTCTTTTATGAGTGTATGCCAAAACCTCTTAGAACTACAAATTTACGAAACTGGATTAAAAATATTCTTCTGGTCGTTTTTTCGATTAAAAAAATTATAATGGAAATATTACTATTGCCTAGTATTTTTTTTCTTTCTCAAATACTCTTTGCCTGTAACTGAAAATAAACCAAAATTTAACGTTTTTGTTTCGTCCAAAACCAAAACTATGCCAAAAGTGATCAAATGGCAACTTTCGGCACCGAAACTGAAACTCAGTGGGCCTCTAATTCAGATCCAATAGCAATTTGGGTATGTGCCCTTTAGCCCATGCCATGTTGAAGAATTTAAACACACTCCACAGCTGTTCTTTGTTTGTATTTAGGGTGTTAGTATTAGTCTGGTATTTTTGGTTGATGATTTAGGTGTAAGACCTGAATTGCTGGACAGTGGAAGAAGTGAATTAATTAAGCTAAAGTTAATGTTTAAAGACGGTAAAGCTAACTTTCTAAGCTTGTAAGTTGTATTTCACAACATGTGTTTATTTCATTTATTGATGAATAAGTCCACTTTGTATATGAGGCGTATGCAAAATGTTCCGCCTGCAACCTACTTTTTATATTCCATAATCTTCTCATGACTATAATAAATCTCCATCTGTTTAGAGATTTTCCCACAAAAAAATAAAGATATTCCTTAGAAAAGTATATTCAAAAGAAAAATACGCAAGTATTTAAAAAAAAATCCATTTTCGTTTTTAATATAGGCCTAGAGTAATTTGTACAATGTCAATTAGTCCAAATAAGGCCTGCCTAAATTATTTATATAAGTGATAGGCCTAATGTAATTAATTTATGTTTTCTAATTGTTTAAATTTATTTTCTCTTCATCAGCCTGTAAAATGGCCTTTTCTCAGAATCCAAGTAAAATATTTACTGGTTTTAGGGCATTGGGTTTTGTCAGCAATCATATTCCTCTTGCTACTCGCTACCATAAAAGACATAAAGACAACTACGTGATAACATGTGTTGGACGGGCCTTTCATGTTTATAATGTAAGTTTTTTTTATGGCATAGAGATGTATGTGATACCATTATATAATATGTTTATAAAATATTTGTTTTAAGGATTAAAAGAAAACTTTAATTTAAAAAAAAAGCTTTTTGAACACACACACAAACACATTTACTTTAGATATTTTCAAAACATTATAGGGACTACAAAAATGCATTTGTAATGTTGTTTCTTCCCCTGCTTGTTTTTTAACTGGAGCTATTTATGACTTATAAAACTTTATTTTCAGATCAGCAAGCTTGGTATAGTTGCTGTTAGTAAGTATTTTGGTTCAATAATTGAAAAAAAATTTGTGTTGAATTTTGTCAGTTTTGTAATATACTCTAAAATCAGTGTATTTTAATTATTTTTTAAATACACAAAGTATTTTGCTAATGTCTCAAGTTTAATTTCTTTAATCAAGTTAAATCTTTAACTATTTTCAGGCCTACAATTTTCTTTTTGTTTCCCTAGGTGACTCACATCCTGAAGATATAAGTGCAGTAGCTGTAGATTTCCGATATGTCTTCACAGCTGCTGGAAAAGAAGTCTTTTTAGTAGCGAGAAACAAAAAGGTTCAGCCATTTAAAACACGTTTTACATTTCTGTCATCATTATTTAAAATAACATGTAGGCTACATGATGCAATTTTCAAGGTAAGAAATGTCTGCATAAGCATATTCCAATAAGGGTTAAACCTTAACAAACAGAAATTGTATGTTTTATGCAGATTGAAAAGACACTCAAAGGACACAAGGCTGATGTGACTTTATTACTACCTTTTGGTCATCACTTGATTTCAGTTGATGCAGAAGGATTTTTGATTGTTTGGGATATCAAGTCCAAAGGTTAGTGTGTTGCTTAACTTTAAACAAAAATTAAAATTTATATATATATTTTTGTTATGCCTATGTATCTAGAATCTTTCTTTTTTTTCACTTAGCCTTGTGGCCCATTTGCGTGTTTCCATTTTGATCACTTATATATAGGATAGAAAAAAAATGTTATTGCAAATAATTTATCTGGTTGTGTTTCCTTATTTTCAGAACAGTATTTGCAAATTAAGTTTGACCCTTTGGCCTTTGCCGTGACTGCTATAGCTCATCCACACACTTATGTAAACAAATTTCTTCTTGGGAGTGAGCAGGGCACACTTCAACTCTGGAATGTCCACACAAATAAACTGATCTACACATTTGCAGGCTGGGGAAGTAGCATAACAGCTGTTGTACAGGTAGCTTGTTGACATTGGGAGGGAGAGCAAGTTTTTGTTTGTAATTTGTATCTAGGGAGCATAAAATAATTCATTTTAAAATATCTTACATTTATTTTTTTTCCTACTCATTTCCCTCACATGTACTAAATGTATAGCTTTAGGATTTAAAATTTAATAAAAAAATATATTTTATCTTATTTATTTTTCAAAAAATTATTTTGCAATTATAAATAAAAATCACATTACAAAATACATTTGCCCTTTTTAAATGGGATAGAAATATTTCAAGGAATACTTCAGTCTTTTCACACCCTTAATTCCCATTAGTCATCAATTTTTATTCCTGCATTTAATTGTAATGTCATATTGATTTAGTCTACAGCAATTGATGTGATGGCTATTGGTTTAGAAGATGGACAAGTCATCCTTCATAATCTTGCTTTAGACAAAACAATAGTAAAATTCAAACAAGATTTTGGACCAATTACAAGAATAGGGTTTAGAACAGGTATTTGTAAAAAATATGACTATTTCTAAAAAAAAAATTGGTTAGTTATGTCTTGTAATGTTGAGTTATATAATGTAATTATATTGCATTTGGAATGCATCTGCCTTATATTCAAGATGTGGCATGTTCAAATTCATGCAGTGTCATTAATAAAATGTGGCAGATAGCTGCGAGAAAATGGACTTGTGTTCCCAGTAAGGCAGTTTTGCTAGTGAGAGGATTAAAGCAGCAAAATACCTTCCAATTAAAGAAGATGGAGTTAACTAAAAATAAGCTGTCTGTGCTATGGGTGACTCACAAAAACAAAATAGGTGTCAAATGACAACAATTTTTGTAAAGTGCAACTTTGATTATTTGAAAAATGTACTTACTGTTACCATGCTCATAAGTTCTGTTTTACAATTTTCAAGATTTTGTTGAGTGCAGTAATTTGAGTGCAATAATTTAATAATTATTGACTATTTGTGTTCCAGATGGCCATCCAATGATGGTAACAGGAAGTGCTGCAGGGCACATAGCGCTATGGGATCTAGAAAACCGGAAGTTACATAGTTACTTGAAGGATGCCCACTTTGCCTCTGTCACTGGTCTTGAATGTCTTCCATCTGAGCCTCTCATGGTTACATCTGCTGCTGATAATTCCTTGAAGGTATGTTACAAAAATTTTCAAAAAATATGTATTTCATCTTGTAAGTAAAGTTCTTAGCATGAAACATTACAGTTCAATAGAATAGGTGTGGAGTCTTTGAAGGAAAAAGTGCTCACCAGCAAACTAAATAAGCATGATAAGGATGAACTTACTCTTAAATAAATTACTAAGTTTTCACCCTAAAAAATGAAATAAAAATAAATTTAGGTCAGTCAGTAACGCTAGACTCATTGAGTTGCTGACTTGGACAAAATGACTCAAGATGATAAACTCAAGACCATCAATTTAGTCTGTACTGTACTCATTCATTTACACACAATACAGGTTTGGATTTTTGATCTCCCTGATGGTGGTGCTCGTCTTTTGAGGCTCAGAGAAGGACACAGTGCCCCACCCTCCTCCATTCAGTTTTATGGCAATGATGGTCAGAACATTCTCTCTGCAGGTTTGTTCATTGTTAAATAATTTTTTCCCCCCACTTGAATGCATACATACTATTAAAGAAGGAAAAGATTTTAAAAAAAATATAAATTAATATATTTGTTTGATAAAAAAAACATGCACAAATCAAGCTTTCTTCAAAGTGACCAAATTTAACTTAGTAAAAACATAATGAAATTTGTGTACTGGTGTATTTTATTGTAGACTTAAAAAAGATTAAATCCTCAACAGACAGCCTTTGGGGTACATAGTTGAGTATCTCACAACCAGAAAAGTTATTAGGCTTGAGTTTATCCAGGGTTATTTCCAGCTGTGGGGGTGAAAAGGACTGATCTGCCTAGTAAGGCAGCTTTTCTTGGGAATGAGAAGACAGCAGCAAAGTTGTGGGATAATAAATTGCATTTCCAACTTAAAACAATATAATATAGTTCATTAAAAAAGTTGTTTAAGTTCTCAAACTAAATTAAAATTTGCCTTAATATTTTTGTCCACATCAGGTCATGATAGCACAATGAGATCTTTTTCCACTGTTCATGACAAATTTAACAAAAGTTTGGGCAGAGCCTCATACCTGAAGAAGGCATCAAAGAGGGCTGGTCTGAAGTTGGATAAACACAAGATGCCACCTATTGTGAAATTTGTAGCAGGTTTCTACTTTTATTTGGTATCTCTCAAGATACCTTCATTTTCAATGAATTTTCTTTCAAGCTATTTTAAAAAAGGGAGGCATTAGAAATTATTGTTTATTAAATATAGAAAATATGACCTATAAAATACCTTAATCTCCAAAAGAAGAATTTATTGCTTAAAAAGGCTTTATTGTGTTATTTTAAAGAAATTTGGGGACATGATGTGATGATAAAAATTGCTTTAAAAGTTATGCAATCCATTAGAGTAGATTAGAAAAATCTACCATACTTTTCCATTCTAAAATGCAGAGCCAAGCAGAGAAAGTGATTGGGACAATGTTCTGGCTTGTCACAGAGGACTTGATCTGGTATCTACCTGGAACTATCAAAGGTCTACAATGGGCAAACACATGATAACACATAAGAGATTCAAGACTGATGTTTCTGAACACTCGATCCATGCAACTGTAAGCAAAACTCTCATTGTATTTATTTAAAGCAGATTGACAATTTCTTTATGTGCTTACATACACTAGAAATGAGATGGTATTAATGTGTAAAGCAGTATTTAGGAGAAGTAACTTTTGATTTTGCTAAATCGTTAAAGTTTAATAGACCCTGGTGTCTGTTAGTTTTAATATTAATGATCATTATTTTAAAAATTAATTTGGAAAAGTGTTAAGTTAAAGATTCAGATAATTCTTGATTGCTTCTTTCTCAAGCTGTTGAAAGTGTTAAGCTGGAGAGATGAAGATAATTTCTTGTATGTTTCCTTCTCAGGCTGTTGAGATCAGTTCCTGTGGTAACTTTGGTTTCATAGGATACAGCACAGGTCATGTAGACATGTACAACATGCAATCCGGTGAATACAGAGCTGGTACACAAGGTATTTTTTTAGTTTGATTAAATTACTGGGTAACAAAGTGATATGATCAGTTAGATTTCATAAATTTGAACTTTGGGTATAGAGAAATACTTACTTTAAGAATATATGTATTTACTATAAGAATAAATGTATTTAAAAATATAGAGCTTAAGTGTAAATGTTTCTGTAAAGAAAATAAATAAAACGGAATAAAATGCACTTTTTGAAAAAATTGTAAAAAATTCGACGCAGCCCAACATAAGTTAAACACAAAATGTTGTAATGTTCCTATTTCAGCTCACTACTGCACAGTGAGAGGTATTGCTTGTGATGCTCTCAACCAGAAAATCGTTACAGCTGGTTCTGATGGCAATTTGCGATTTTGGCGGTTTAAATTTAAGGAGCTTCTTGGGGAGCTCAAATTAGATGTCTTCATCTCACAAATCTTGCTGCATAGAGACAGGTGAGCTCTACTCTAACCAGACATTACTTTTCATTAAATTATACTCATCAGTTTAACTTGATTCTTTCAATTTTATATATTTTATGTATTTATAGGCCTATCAATAATCCTACACCTCACTTAACTTCTATCATCTCATCATATGATGGGTATTTTGATCTACCCTGTGTTATATTTATTATTACATTGCATACAATTTAAAATTAAAACCAACATACTAGATATGGTTACTATTACTTATTTAAGTACTATGTTACAATAAGCTCAAATTAATAGAACATTTTTTTTTATAGTTCTATGTTGGCTGTTGCACTTGATGATTTCACAGTCAGTGTAGTTGATATGGATACCAGAAAAAAAGTGAGGCATTTTACTGGTCACTCATCCTCCATCTCAGACATGGTGAGCATTTTTAAAACTCTTTCTCGGTCATTGCATGTGCCAACTTAATACAAAGTTGAGGTGCCCTTTTCAAATCCTCCAATAATTTCATGATAATTTAAAATTGCTGGGTTGCCGAGCAGTCTAAACCGAGTAAAATCCCAAGCTTCTGTTCTGGAGTTGGGTTCCCATCAAAACCTAGACGAGCAAAAACATCCCCAGCACCCTGGGTGGATGGGACTTGTTAACCTTGGATGGCATCTTATCTAAGAGAAGGAAAACTCTGGTGATAACATTGACACAATGAAAATTCCGAAAACTCCTGTGACACTATAGTTGCCAAGCTCTATCATTCACATATGATGTTCCTTTGGGTTATTCAAGTGTGTAGAGAGAGGTGATTTGCTGTCTAGGGAACCAGCTTATCCTCTTTAAAAAAAATCCTAGGCCTTGTGATTTCCATTACGCAAGGTCTCATTGTGACAGAGGATCTCAGAGAATTTTTTTTTTAATAATGTAAAACGCATTGTTAAAAAAGCTTTCCATTTCCATGAAATAGTAGAACAAGGTATGTTGAAGCTTGAATTAATAGACAGGACAACAGATATTTCAATTATTATCTTTTATTTCCATTACCATTCAATGAAATTATTGAGTTATCTGGATTTATTTCATTACTCCCTTTTCTTATATAATAAAGTATCTGCATGTCAATGAAATTTTATTTTTCATGACAATGAAATTATGAGATCCATACAATGGTTTCAGACTTTCAGAGCAGATTGCAGATGGTTGATAACTGCAAGCATGGACTGTAGCATCAGAACTTGGAACTTACCAACTGGCAAGTAAGTCAAACATTTTGTGTCATGTGACAATTGTCTAAATTTTGTAATGATCTTTCTTTGTCTGACATTTAAAATGCGGTTTCTCTAAAATGAATTCACTAAGAGATATGTTGCTATTGAAACACTATTGCTATTGAGGGCACTGTAAACACACCATAGAGTGTACACGCTGACAAAACCTAAAGCACCAAGCCAAATCGTTGCGAGCGTTCGCAGAGGGCCTTCAAGACCATTTGATCTTGAAAGTTACGTCGAGACCCGAGATAAAACACCAATTTCAGCGAAATCTTTTAACAGAGCCGAAGGAAACGACGAACAATTTGCAGAGATGAGTCACCAGCAACCAAAACCAACATTTCAACAGCAGCAGAGTAGGAGAACAACTAAACAAAGGCAGCAGCCCTCTATAAACCAAGACCCGACCCTGCATGAAAATCATATGGAAATGGCTACTTTATTGAGCAGAGAGTGGAAGAAAGTACAAGACTGTCAAATAAAGGGAAAAGATGCAGATTCAGGTTATGAGACTTACCTTGATAAAGAGCCCAGGAAGCGTAGTATAGACAGTAATTTTCAACCATTTGATTTGGAAAAATTTTGGGGAACAAGGACACTAACAAATGCTTTAGGAAAGCCAACCAGCTGAGAGTGATGCTCCACGTGCCTTGTATCCATTATCCTGTCCTATATAACAACAGCAGCAGCAGCAAATAAGTCAGTGTTTTGAACAATATCGATCATGATCATCTTGTAAAGCATCATCCACCATGCAGCATCTCATCTAGATTGCTGGATGTCATTACCAGTTTGACATGATAAGTCCACAACCCAGGAATAGCTTTAAAAAACAGCCTCTTCTAGATAACTGACATTGATATGGATTTATATTTAGTTGCAATCACAACACTTTATTGTTTAGATACAGATTAATAAAAATGTGTTTTTTCTTAGTGAGCTGCAATGTTCATCAGTTTATTTGTGTTTTGAAGTATAAATTCAAAGTAGCAAAGGGGTAATGAGTTTACAAAGAAGTAGTAGGGGTGCCAGCTGTGGCGTTTAGAATAGCTGTGAAGTTTCTTATAGTAGCAGAGAATAATTTTAAAAATGGTCTTGTGTCAATTATGTGATAAGATGATGAATTATGCATTTTCCCATACCATATATTTTAAAAAAAATAAAAAAAATTGTGTTTTTTTTAAAAAGTCAAACATTATTATTGATTCCTTGATAGGCTTAGGTGTGCTTAATAATTTTGAAAAGAATTATTTTAACCATAGTATATTATATTGATTGATTTTTTTCTCTCTTACTGAAGAGCATGGGCCTATATTTGACATTGTGAAGGCTGGTCAAATTGCTGTACATAAATATTTAGGGAGACAAAAATTAAGTCAAGTTTAAAAAAAACTATTTTGAACGAATTCTCAGCTTTTTTTGATGACATTTAGAGGTGCAATTGGACACTGTAGAGAATCATTTTTTTTTTTTAATCTGGATAATTTGAACTCCGAGTTACAGCGCTATTTATTTCAAGATTTGTAGTGCAATACACTAGGCACATGTTTAAGCTGAACAAGATAAATGAAAGAAGAACAAGATAAATGAAAGTTAAGGGTTTTTTTTTTATTTCACCCCTTTCTTATTGTTTTATTTAGTGCATAAATGGTGTGTCAATTCACATTTTTTGTTACCTGGTTAGACTTTTTTTTTTTGAGCACATGATTTTCAGCATGAAGTATTGCAAGAGCAAATTAATTTAATCATTAAATTTTAGTATTGTGTATGACTTCGTCTATTCATTAAATGTTAATTGAAAAAACCTATGTATTTTCGGATGCCTGCATTTATTTGTACTTGAACAGAACCCTGTGAGAATATGATGAAGGGTCAAGCATTGATCCTGAAATTATCTGAAAAGTTTTAATAAGCAAATCAATTTTAGTTGGCTCCTCTGGTCTTAGTGGCCAGATCTTACTTGTAAAATTACGAGAAGAAAAGATTATTTTTTTAAAATATTAACGCTTTTAGGTTAATGGGTCAAGGCTGGTCAACTAGCATTACATTTGTTCATAATTTACTACCAGTACATAATAACTAGCATCACATCTGTTCTTAATTTGCTATGGTATGGACTCTTTTGAAATATTGATTTGAAATTGTACAACATGTGATCATCGTCAAAGCTCTAGAAGCTCTACATGCATAGGAGCCAAAATGATCAATAAATTGATCGTGGGCCCTTAAGATATAGAAGAAGAAGAAACAACTAACCACCATGACTTAATGCCCAATAAATTCTCTTCCATGAATTAGCCACTGGCTAGGATCTATTATTTTGTATATTTGAGGATGAGTCAATATTTATCTGCATTGCATTTGTGTTTCTCTTGGAAGCAGTCTTTTTTCCTTATCATTGCTAGGCAGGGTTTCTGTCTTATCACTGCCATGAAGTTTGAAGTTTGTGAGGAGGTCAGTTCCATTATCCCTGCCATGAAAAGGACCACAGCGGCCCTCCATTCCAAATGCACAATAGAAAAGTTTTTAATGAGTTTTTTTTGTTGTTTTTTTAATGTGTAATTGGGCTAAAATCTACCCAATACTTTAAGCACAATACAGGGAAATTAACTTGAAATTTCAAAATAGTTTTTTTAAGGTGTTACTCTTAGGTAATGGAACCAACAATTCAATGCTAAGTGCTCATACCTACACTTTTTAAACTCTCCAGAAACTCTGTATAGTGAGGGAAAACTCATCCTTTTAGATTATCTCCTCTTTTATCCACTAAAAGAGACCCAATGGGTTGTCAGTTGACCTTTAATTCAGTGCTGCAGGAAGTATACTTTGCTCTCAAAATATTTTTTTCCGTTTGTATTGAAATTAAGTTTGTGGCTGCAATGATGATAATTCATGACCCATCCTTGTACTAAATGAATTCTAATTTTTTTGCCTAGGTTGATAGATGTTTTTCTGCTGCAGTCAGCAGCAACTTCCATTTCTATGTCTCCTTGTGGTAATTTCCTGGCCACAATACATGTGGGTGATGTAGGTGTTTACCTGTGGTCAAACAAAACTCTCTACACACATGTGTCCTTGACACCTTTACCAGAAGATTACATACCAAAGTGTGCAGACTTACCTAACACAGCGGCTATGGATGAAGGTACGCTTCTATTTCTAGCATTTAATAATAGTTTGTGATAAAGGGTCTGATTGCTTATTAAAACTTCTAATCTTATCCTTTTTCTGGATAGAGTCATCTGAATTGGTTCAAAGCAATTTGGAAGAAGGTACTGAAGAGGACCAATACAAGTCCCCTGAACAAATTGCAGACGAGTTGGTTAGCTTGTCTCTTCTTCCAACATCACGGTGGTTGAACTTGTTAAATTTGGACATTATTCAAGTAAGTTGTCTGTAATTTATCTGTAAACATTTGATAGGTTATTAATACTTTTGAACCAAATTTTCATTGAAATGAAAAGTATTGTTAATATCATTTCTTCAGAAAGTAAACTTGTTTCATTACAATGTTATAAAACTGTATAAGTCAAGGGCAGTGGAAATATAATCATGTTAAATTTTAAAAAATAAAATAAACTATCAATACCTCAAGAGAAAATAAAGATTAATTTACATTAAAAAACAGTTTTATTATTATTTTTTTATCCAAAGAACTAACAATGTAATTGATGAGCATGCTTGTACAATTCAAATTTGAATGTAGATGATCACACATCTGTTAATTTATTATCAAATGTAGATGAGAAACAAACCCAAGGAACCCCCAAAAGCCCCCAAAGCAGCACCATTCTTTTTGCCAACTATTGCTGGGCTCCAGCCCCAGTTTGATGTAACAAATGCTGACTCCACTCAGAAAGTGGTGAGTACCAGCACCTGATAGCCTTACAACATTTCTTTAATAGAGTGATATCTTTTGATTAATTTAAGTTAATAAGAACTAAAAATAATTTGCAGTGCTATTTCTTTTTATGGGTGATTATGGTATGTAACATTTTCATTACAGTTTCCAAGGAACTTTACCATAGTGTTAAAAGAACCTTTTTTACAACCTTTAAAAACAGTTATTATTATAGTGCATATTACACTCATAGATTCATGTTTTGAAAAGTGCTTATGGATCTTAATTCTAATTTAAGTACTTTATGCAGTACTACTTTTCTTTAATAACACTGTTTTTGCTGCAACAAGAGTAAGTTAAACATTTTTTAAAAATTCAAATGTCATTGGATTTTATTATTTGCACTATATGTTCATAAATGGATCAACACTATTTCCACATTCACTATGTATTAATGCTGAAATTTTCTTAAAAATCTTTCTATATTATAGATTAAATAGGAAAGTGCATATAAGAACATGCATTTCAAAAAATTGACAATCTCTCAATTATACTGATATGAAGTAGAAGGAAAACCTTTAATTTGAACCTAGACTATAAATCTTAATTACTAAAGCTGTTTATTTTCCATAGCAAAATTGTTAAGGAAATAAGATTATTTTATTTGTACCCAGGACTATAAATGCTGTCTAAATTTAGTAAAAATATTTCTCTTTTCCCACATCGAAGTCTGAAAGCCGCATCAAGAGGCCACTTCTTGGAGCTTTGTCAGACCTTGCGGTACAGCTAACAAGAGCTCACCACAGCAGTTCCTGTAAGTAAAAGCTCTAAGTTGTTTCACTTCTTTTGTCACACACTCAATGTTTTCTTTTTGGATTTGTGAGTCCAATCTCATAAATTGTCTGGACTTCATATGTGATGTAAAACATACTTTTAAGAATTATCAATATTAAGAAATTAATTAATAAAAAAATCTTTTTTTTTTCAACAGCACTATAAGTTATAAGGGATAAAATAGTTACACACAATTTTTTCTTTTTTTGAAACATAATTTAATATTTTTTAGTTAATGAACCACATTAATTTGCTAATTAACTCAAAATCTTTTATTAATTAATTTCTTAATATTAATAATTCTTAAAAGTATGTTTTAATTCATTTTTGGACACATTTATTTGCTAAATCACTGAATTGTCTTTGCTGTTTCAGATGCAGATGTTTTAAGATCTATGAAAGAGATGGGTCCATCAGCTATTGACAGAGAGATCAGACTTTTGTCAAGTGATGATGGTGGCAGTGAAGATGTTATGGTTTACTTTTTAGAATACATTGAGGCCACATTGAAGTCGAATAAAGATTTTGAGCTTGCTCATTCTTACCTAGCACTCTTTTTAAAGGTAATATAGACTTTAAATTGAAATTAAATATTTCCAAGAATCTAACATAAAAAATGGTTTTGTGGTCAATGCAAAAAATTTGAGATTTTTATTAATTATTATTTAATCCGTAGTTTAAAAAATTGAAAGCATTATGTCGTTCAAAATCTCAGGGTTTTACAAGTTTTACAATTTTACAGGAAACTTTGGGAGTTATCAAGTATTGAAAAATTTGAAAAGATCATTTCTCATTTAATCATATTATTTTAAATTTTTAGAACTAAAAATCTTTTTAAAAATGTTTAAATTCTGACTCTCAAGTTATAGAGAGAACTAAAAATCTTTTTAAAAATTGTTTACATTCTGACTTCTCAAGTTACAGAGAGGTTAATAACCTAAACCACAAGTCAGACAACATAAACGGATTTCAGCAGCACTGTATTTACTATTTAATTGAAAAAAATATTTCTATTTCAAATAACCATTTCCATCAGGTTCATGGTGAAGAGGTGGCCAGCAAACACCAAATTTCAGCAGCTCTTGAAAGAGTTGCCAACACTCAGTTACATTCATGGGACAGGATACAGTTACTGTTACAAAAATCTTTGGGGTTGGTGAATTATCTCAGATCTGCTACAGTTTGATGACAGATGCTATGATGGATATTGAATTATATACTTGGAGGAATAGAACCTGCTAAATGTTATTAAATCCAGTTTATGAGTTTTTGCGTGTTCAGACATCTTACAGTAAAGATGGAATAAAGTCTGCTCGAGTTTAAAAGAGACCTGTTTCATTTTTTCTATATTTTGTGTCATTTTAATTATCAAGATTATAATATGCTTTGTGAGTATGGGTCTTTGGATAAGAATACAATTTATTAATTTTATATGTACTCATGAATATCCCTGTTGAAAGCATGGGCAAAGGCCACTTTAATGTCCAATGGAGGTTGTTGAATATGTGTTTAATCATTCTGGAAATAAATAAACAGCTACTTAATTATTGAGGTCCCAGGAAGCTGTCCCAGAGTAGGTAATATCTGAAGGCTATAACTAACTGTAAAGTTTGGAGCAGATTTTTTGTTTTGGTGGGTTGGATCGTTGTTTGGTTCTCTCCTCGTATACTCTGGAGCCCACAGTAACTGGGTTTTTGGGTCTATATGGCCAACAATTAGGGTTAGTGGCAGTTGGCAGCTTTAAAATGAGAAAGTAACACATTAAATTGATTTTAACATTTATTAACGAGTGCATTTCACTCATAAAACTCTGTTCAAATGGCAAACAATCTTGAGTACTGCCGATGCATTCAATAATAATCACATGTAATTCAAAATTGTATATACTATCTATTATATTTAATTTTAATCATGGCCTCTATGGCATAAAAGTATATACTATTTATAAAAATAAGAAATAATGACTGTTTTTTGGTACTCCCATTAGTAAGGCATAAAAAATATCACATAAATCTATTATTTTTTTTTACATCAACAAAAAATTCTATAAGACATTAAGAAATCTATTACTTATTAATAGGATATCACTAATTGTAATGAATAGTCCACCTATAGCTTTTTTCCTTATACATAAAAGTCAAAGTTGACAATAACAAATAATTCTTTATGTATCCATGCATGGCTCTTGCTCAATATGTGCCCAAAATAAAATACCCAGAAGACACCACAACTTAGGATTCTTACAAAGTTACTTTAATCCATATTTTGTCAAATAACTTAGTAAATAGGAAGGTCGCACATTGTTTGGTGGGTTATTTCTCGTTTATTAAATAATTTTTTTTTGAGAAATGAAATAATTAATCTCATGCCAAATTATTTCAAACAATGTGACATGTAACTTGGAAAACATTTAAATGTGAACTTTCAAGGATAAATAGATTTCTGGTATTGTATAACTGTTAAAATACTGATTAAATCCAACAAGCATAAAACATAGTACAAGTTACAGGTTAAGACAGCTGGTGGAGTTTAAAGAAAGATCCTATAAATGCAAAGACAAAAAATATTTCTTTGCCATTCAGTTGAAGTGCATGGTCAATCTATTAAAGAAACAAAGTTGACATGGGTAATTTTTTTTTTACATGCCTGCCATTAATCAAGCTCATCATGTCTTTAATATGACAATTTTTTTAAATAACAAAACTGTCACCATTTTGCCCAGCTAATAGTATACTAATACAATATTTTTATATCCCTAAATTCATTTGAAATAAAAATTACACAACTTTTCAGGCAAAAATATGAATCAATAAATAAATAATTTTTTGAAGAATACATGTTTTTGGGTATATATTGCATAAATATTTGCAAGATGTAACCATTCAAAGACATATGACTGTAGGGCTTTTTGTATCAGTACACAAGTAATGCATAGAACCCTTAATCAAGACTGAATTGAGAGGGAGAATGTTTTTAAATTAATGAAAATATAGATACAGAATTTAAAACTAAAAGGGTACTTTTCAGAAACAATATTTACTGGTTATGCTGCTGCTGTCAAACCTGGTATTACATAGATACAAATTAAAGGTTACTGGAATTATGTGTTTTTGATGGGTTGGATAGTCAGGCATCAATTATTTCACCAATTACTGCAACAGCTTCAATTTCCACAGTCGCTCCCTGAAAAAAAAAAAAGTTTGGATGAAAATCAACTTTCATAGGAATATATTTTAGGAATAGTTAAACTCCCCCCATAATAAGTTTTGCTTCACTGATAAACAATATTAAAATGTATTATGTCAAAACTTACTTTTGGAAGTGCAGCAACTTGATAAGCAGCCCTAGCAGGTTTGGTTTTTGGAAAGTCTAAAAGACAATACAAGGCCAATTCTCAGTAATATTTCATTTGAGCTTAAAACATGACAGCTTTGTTAAAAAAACAGTTTTTACAAAAATCTCCTGCTGAATAATTTGCCACTTATGGAAAGATGACATGATAATGTTAATTACACTCCTGTGAACAGAAAATAGATAGATAATTAAAAATTCTGACATAATGGTAAGATTAGTAACAGTGACAGGTAAGAAAATTATTTTTACTTACATTTTGCATAGACTTCATTGACAGCTGCAAAGTCATTGATACTTTGTAGAAGAACAGTGGTCTTCACAACTTGAAAAAAATGTAAACTCAGAAAAATAAAAAAACAAGACCTAATTGTATTTTCCTTTATAAATTTTGTTTCCCCTAAATCTTAACCTAAGCTAGAACTAGAAAGAATTCAAAGATGAAAAAGTTTATGTTCACTTTCCAGTTCAAAAATATGTGAATGACAAAGAAAAGTCTGATCACTGATAAGTTGATTGACCAAACCTAACAAACTATTTCAAAGTGAAACTTCACAGGAGATTGAATTTGAAATGCAGTCATATTGCAGTTGCAACTGTCAAACATGGCAGAACATTCATTCCTAAATCTTGAACATGGGGGATTTTTTAAACACAAGGTCACAATTACATTTGTGATTGGGAACCTATTCATTTAATATATTGTCTCTTACCATTGTCATAAGAACTTCCTGCTGCCTCTAGGATAGATCCAATATTTTTTAATGCCTAAAAAAGAAAGGGAAATGTAAAAAAATGAGCTGCTTAAATTAAAAAATAATAATATTTTCTTAAAATAAATTTTATTTCAGTAATGAATCTCATTGAAATAGATTAGAAATTAACAAATTCAATTTACCTGATCTGCTTCTGCAACTGCTCCTCCTGGAACAATCTCCATTGTCTCTGGAATGAAGCCAATCTGACCAGAAATGTAAAGGGTATTGTCCACTTGCACTGCTTGACTTAAAATTAAATATTTTCAAGAATTTTAATTTTGTATTATTTAATCACATACATATGATAAAAATGATATAATAATTATAACAATAATAATATTTCTACTTTGTTTTGTTTTTTTTCTCAAATGCTTGGAATTGGAAGGGACAATGGCAAGATTTTTAATTGATGTTTTAATTAGGGCCTACTTTGAAGCAATTCTTTGTCTTAAATTAAATAACTTTTCAAATAAAGTCAGTCCCATTGCCATTCAAATTCAAAGCCATATTAGAGTGTTTTGCGCCCGGGCACAAGATACAGTTTTTACAACCAACCCTCCTCAATTCTGAAACTTATGTTTTCATCAATAAAATACCCCATATAATATATATGAATATGATATTGGCACCCCCAAACTAGTCTGGTCCCCACTTTCGCCTTCTCCTACCTAGACTTAGATGTGTGATTTACTTATAACTTATACTGGTATGGATGATCCCCGCCTGTAGATGCTTTTAAGTTTAGGTCTTAACTTAAGTTAAAGTTAAGCCTGGCCTTAGCTTACTTAAGTGTAACTTTAGTCACTTCGACTTAAACTTTTTAGATTTAGATTAAATTTTGGCCAAATAAAAATTCAAATAATCGTATGAATCTTATTTATTCTTATGGCTTATACTTATATGGCATGGCAATGTATTTTAAATACTTCAATTGAAGGGAGCTTCATAAAAATTACCTATAAGGTCCAACCGCTTTTGGGGCCTTAGCAGTGCTTATTATTCTTCTTACAATTTTTGATGCCATTTCAAAAGAGGATATAATCAGGTTCTTTAAAAAATATATATATATATATTATTTATAATGCTGAATGAAGTGAATAGTATACGATACACGTATTAGCAACGAAACGAAAAATAGTTGAACATTTAAAATGACAAAAAGAATTTACAAAAACAATAATTATGAGAATCGAATCAAATTTAATTAATCCTACGCTTGCCATAACATAACTAACTAAAACTGTACTTAAAAAAACGGTAAAGTGAATGCTAGTGAAATAAAACAGAATGCGTTTTCTCTGCGAGAAAGCTAGTGCCAGTGCAGAGATAATTTAATTCTGTTAATTCCACTTAAATTACAATTCTGGCGTACCTCCAACTGTTCATACCTGTTGTATAACTTACGTGTCATCCATGCCATGCCATGCCCATGCCATAATCATAGTACTCAAAGTCATAGCTAGGCTATCTCAGAATATGATCTCTTATTTCTGGAATTTCCTGCTTCCTCTTCACAGCGCATCTCCCCCCCCCCCCCCAAAAAAAAATCATCCCAATGTCTTATAATTGATCAGGGCCGGCGCTAGGAGGGTGTGGGGGCCTTGGGCAAATTGAATTTTGCGTGGCCGTTGTTATATATTCCGCCGTTAGGATATTTAATATTAAGACACGTTATAGTTGTAGTCGTACTGGGGCCTTGCTGGTCAGACTGACTTTCAGACCATTTGACTACCTAATAACCGAATATTGTGGATAAGGAACTATTAGTAGGCTTAGGTAAATTATAAATATACTACGGGGCCTTGGGCGGTCGCCCTCTTCGCCATCCCCTAGCGCCGGCCCTGTAATGATAGTACTGAGTTAGAAAAAAAAAGCTGTCTCGCAGCGAGCTTTCATGCGTGGCACCCGGTTTTTTTTAAGCCATAGTAGGCCTATAATGAAAAAGTCAAAGTGCGTACGCGGGTCTCGGCTCGGTCATCTGAATCGGGTGGGGCAGGAGCTGCAGTCTTTAAATAAGGGATTAGGTCATCGGGTGGTGGGAGGGGTGTCGGCAGAATATGTGCGAAAATCTAAGCACAAATAAACTGAAACAATTTCTTATCATTTTCAAAATAATCAAAGGCTATAGAATTATTTCTGCGTTGTATTAATTTTAGTATTTTTAGGGACCATTCTCCATGATGATCATGCGTCTACAAAAATTGGGGTGGCCCCTTCATTAAATAATGGACATACTGTTGCTAATTTTGTTTTCGCAAAATAATTAGATATGGCAACATTGATATTTAGCCTAGTGATACATTTAGTCCACCGTAATTCACCGTTTGGTTCCGTGTGTGTGTGTGTGTGTGTGTGTGAAGTAATTTGTAAACTGATTAATTATTTCCTTGGGCTAAGCCAAAGGTTGTCAAGAAAGATATACCGTAGGGCTGTAGCAGCTAAACAGAGGATAAGGGTAAAACTTGTGACAACAATTTTGTAACAAAGGTTTACTGTGACTTTATTTGTGTAGTTATTAATTAGTAGCGTACCGGTACCTCATAAGTGTCTATAAACTATAAAAAAAAATTGGGGGTTGGGGGGAAGTCAGCTCATATTTTGTATATACACAAAAAAAGGGGTGGGGGGGGTGGGTCCAAAAATGCAACAGATAAATGAAAATAACTTCTTTTACATATGAATTTTATGAATGGCCCACTAGCATAGAAATAAAGAGCTGCTCATAATTTTGTATGCACCTAACTAATATAAATCTTTTTTTATTGCACAATTAAAAAAAACTATTTTTATTGAATGGGGGAATACTGAATGGTTCCAAGATATAAAAGGCCTATAAAACAAGCACACACAATAAACACAGCCATGATGAATTTACATTTCGTTTATTTTGGTCCAAAAATAGTTATTTTATACACAAGATCTTAGCAAGGGAGCAATTCAATATATGGTATAGTTAAAATGTCAGAAAATGAAAGCAAAAAAGTAACAAAAAACCCCTTCAAATTACACAATTTATGCAGTTACCACCCTTTGGAGGAAAGACTGTTCTCCTATTTCAGGTAGTAATGTTGTGCATAGTCCTGTTTATCTTGGCAACAACCAACTTTAATGCATCATAGCTAACATATCACTGAACGTATAATTTAAAGAAATAACCTATAAATTTATATTTTATAAAAATTTTATTTTTCTGAAAGATTCTCAAAGATAAAATAAAGACACATTCGATTTAAAAAACTAAAATGTACTAAATGAGAAATAATTTTCATGACAAAAAACTCCCATTAGCTGATGCGCAAAAATAAATTTCCTTTAAAACAACAAATTAGCAGGCTTAATTTATCTGCAATAGTTACACAGCATATGATTTTCAAGCTTTTGTCAGCTGAAAACTGTCAGGTGAAAATAATTTCTAATATTCAATAAATGCATGTAATTTGAGTCAGATAAGGACTGTGATCACAGATTCGTTTTGGGAAGAAAGATTTATTAAAATTTCATGCAGTCACATAAAATGAGACACATCACACAATTGCATCAGTAAAAACATTTAAATATTGGCCACTTTTCAAACCTATACAATTTATATTTCTGCACTCATTTCAGTAATATTGCATTTATGTTGAAATAAGTATTTGATACATTATTGGTTTAGTTAATGACACAAGCACACACAACTCACAAGATCAGACAAAACTGAGTGGGATGAACAACCTCTTATTTACCCAATGCATCTCTTCCAATGCAAGGGAACAGCATTTATCACACCTAAATAAAAGAGAGCCTTAGTTTTGTATTATAACATGATTGTTCTATGCTGAGAAAAAAATTGTTATGCGTTTGCAGAATGAAATACAGCTTTACTAGTAAATAATAAAATAAGACTAGATGTGTTTGGACGAAATCATCTGGTTTAGTAAAAAGCTTTATGACTGAGGAATCATGTCATGAAAACTTACAATATTTATACATGGTTATATGTAAGAAAAGTAAATAAATGAAATGAAAAAATAGTAAAAGAATAACAATTGCAGGATCTCTATTTGGAGGAATATTTGTATCAATTCCTTCAGTAAAGAAAGAGCAGCAATGCAATAACATTTTTAGAGAAAGAGCAAAGATGTCTCATGATTAATTTACATACTCTCAGTTGAAAAATGTACAATAAGTGGTTTATCACCAATACATGCAAAATTACTGAGTCATTCACACTAAATGCCATGGAAAAAATGTCTTGAAAAAATAGACAAAAAATAGAAATGAAAGCCAAAGAGAGACCTTATTAAAATGTAAGGAATACAAGGAATTTAAAAAAAAAAAAAGTGCAATTTGCTAATCTGTTACTAGAGAGAGCTAAAGACTACCATGTATTTTATCTTTAAATGTTTTTTAAAAGATGTCTGAAAATTGCCAAGAGATTTTTTAATTAGGTAAGCAAAAGAAAAAGGTTTTGTCTTCTTTTAATTGGCATATGTGTGTGTTTATATGCAGATGTATATTATAGTATATTTTGCAACAAGTTTAAAGAAACCTATCACAGAAAATATTTATTGCAATAAATTAAAATAGTTGAAACTTAACAAATATAATTAGATTATATTGTAGAGTAGACTCTTTTATATTTCTTGTTTAACAATATTAAACATAAGAGATAAATGATAAAATGCCACACAATTTTTTGTCTATTTCACTTGTTTGGATGCATATTATTTTTTAAATATCACTGAAGGTATAGCAATTTTTAGAATAAAGGCACTGGAAAATAAGACATATCAAAACTTGTATGTACACACTTGTATGTATACTTCATAAGCAGTATAGTCTAGAAATAAATTTATGTATAGTTATCACTGAATATCCCATATCTCCAGCCTATAGCTGGTTAATCTGGCAGTGACTTTATAGAAAACAAACTTATGATTTTGAAGCTTGTATGTGATTGCAATGAATATGTCCTCTCTTAGCAACAAGATAATTATTTATTGGACAAAATAGTTAATGCTTGTCAAGTCACAAATCAATAATACGACTCATATTTTGATTAATGGATTTCTAAACATAGCAGCAACATACATAATTTTGGACATTCATATTATGTAGGGCAGTATCAAAAATAGATATTGAGATTGTTTAAATCAATATTTCATAAAGCCAAATATTTAGCAAAATTGAGTGCATGAAATAAAAGACAAGTAAACATTAGTTAGAAATGTCTCATGCAATGGTTGGGTATTTAACTAGGGTACTGCAATATACTTCAGATGACATTTATCATGTATTGCTCTTTCTCATAAGGCAGACTCTCACTTACTGATTTGGTTAAGTTCATGAAAAATACAATGTTCATTTTCATCAGTTTACTGGGGGGAGGGGGGGGAGGGAAATTAGCAGCCTTATGGGAAGTGTAAATTATTTACAAAAATAATAAGCAGAGTGAAGAATATTAATTAATTTCCCTTTCTGTAAATAGCCCATCTTATTGACTAATTCCACCTAAACAAATAAAATATGTTAATGATGGCTTGAAGATTATTCATGCAGACACTCAAATAAGTTACAGTTAATTCATGTTCAGCTCAGGACATTGACATCATATTTGGCTTGAAGGATAAAGGCTGCTTAAGTTATTCAGTTAAAAAGGTATAATTAGAAAAAACAACTTTGCTTTAAATAAAGAAAATACTATATTATTTGTTGAGAAGTATTCATAATCAAATCTAAGTGAAAAACATACATTAAGGATATTAAGACGCTTACAGTTAATATCAAATCAACTTGTTAACTACCCACCATAAGCTGCTGGTAGTGCTAAACATTCTTTCTATCATGGCTATGAGCCACTGTGAGCATCATGGTTTGTTTCATAGTAAAACTAGTTATAAATTTAGTCCTACTTTCTTTTCAGTTCGAGATTTTCATTAACAGACAGGAAGTTATTTGAAAAACCACATGTGACATTCAGAATGTAAACAAAAAATGTAAATTTGTCATATTTGTTATATTTTGAGGGTAGTTACCAAGTTATTTTTCATGGCAACTTACTATTGAAGTGTAAAAAATAAATGTTTTGGAAATTCTTGAAGGTTAGTGAGCACATTTTAAAAATTTTTTGAATGCTCTCTCTTGTAAATAATAATTTAATGA